GTAACTACTAATACTGTGGTTTTGGCCTACATTCATATTTGAAGGAACTGCTAAATTCCAGTTAGAGATCAGTAAAAGTAAACATGTAATTTATTTCTCATTGAAGTATGCGGACTCCCCAAAATGTACCTCTGGACAACAGTGACTCCTGTTTAAAAACCCCTGGCCATTAGGAAAACAGAAAAATGGATCATTATGTGAGAGCTTTGAAGACGCAGGGAAATCTGTACACAGGAATGTGAGTTCCTGAGAACACAGTGGGGGAAGAAAGAACATCAGGAGTTTGGGTCGAGGAAGAGAAATCATGAATAATGGAGTGTTACAGGGGTACAGATGAATTCTGTATTTTGGGNCAGAACTATTTTTTATTAAGTTTGCGATGTCTTCTTTGCAAGGTTGTGGCTTTGCAGAGTCCTTCATCATAGTTCTTGTTATCAGGCACGAGTGCTTCAGAACTACCCGCTTGATGGCCTTTCCCCGGCTCTATTTGTCAGGGGTTTTAATACAAGTGACTCCATTTTGATTCTGAAAACTTTCACAATTGCAAAGTAATGATGAACATAAACTATCTTGGTCAGCAATAAACTATATGTGCTATAAAAAATATCTGTGATTTCTTTAACTGACTTGCCAGTATGGGGATCTGAACCCTTGGCCTTGGTGTTATCAGCACCACACTCTTACTGAGTGAGCTAACTGGCCAGACTTCTGTAATTTCTGTTGATAAAAATCACAGGTAACTACTAATACTGTGGTTTTGGCCTACATTCATATTTGAAGGAACTGCTAAATTCCAGNCTAATGTGCTCTTTCACAGAATTTAGGATTTGCAAAAAACATTATGGATCATTAAGTGTAATGTTGCATTTTGTGGAAAATCCTTTTGATAGGCTTCCTGAAGGATGGCTATTTATTGTCTCTGTAATTACTGCTATTGAAAGAGAGCCTGGACCATGCGCAGACAGCTCTTAAAATTGAGCCAAAAAAATCTGTTATTTATAATTTCTGCCTAATAGTTATTGGAAGATGAGATTTTATAGGCAAACAGAACACTTTGGCTACTATATTGTTTTCAAATATATCTTGTGTATATTTTTCTGTCAGGTAACATTAACCAGTCACTAATGACACTAAGAACATGTATGGACATCCTGAGAGAGAACCAAATGTATGGAACTAACAAGGTAAGCAACAGCCTCCTTTCATCGTCTGTATAACTTTGTTTGTGTGCATTTTTTGCCTTATGTATTTGGATTTGACTGTATTTATAGATGGTTCCATATCGAGATTCAAAGTTAACCCATCTGTTCAAGAACTACTTCGACGGGGAAGGAAAAGTGCGTATGATCGTGTGTGTGAATCCAAAGGCTGAAGATTATGAAGAAAGCCTGGTAATTTTAATTTATTCATCCTGTAAAGGTTTGNAGGGATCCTCTGTATCCTTGCAAGGCTGCGGATGAAAACATGATGGAATTAGCTGACCTTACTCAGAGTTTCAAAATGAAGAAATTCTTACGTACATTTGGGGTCTAATCAGGTGAGATCTGCATTCCTGGAGACTTGATTGATCTATCAGACTTGCCTTGGCTCAGAAATCCAAATAAGAGTTGTCAGAAGTAACCACCTAAGAAATAAGAAACCCTTGTTGAGCTGTAGAGAGGACAGAGTTAGCTGGTGCCTAAGACACAGCAGGAGCCCCTCTGGGTCCAGGGGGACTTCAGATGGATCCAATTGTAGTCTGAAATAGTCATGCTTTAGAGAAAGTATTTTATTTTTTTGTTGCTTTTTGGAGAAAATATTATGAGCATATTAAACATCTGCATCTAATGTGCTCTTTCACAGAATTTAGGATTTGCAAAAAACATTATGGATCATTAAGTGTAA